TGTTTAAGACATGAATACGAATGGAATGCTTGTTATTAATGATTAACGTGTCAGTCGTTTGTCATCAGAATTCATAAGTTTTTACAGAATATTCTGCGGTATTATAGCTTAGATTTCAGTGTTTTTGGTGACAATAATGTGTGAATTTGGTTGACTTATGGCACACACACTGGCATACAGTTTACGATTCTTGTGCTCGCCGTCCGTGTCCTCGAAGTCCATGAAATTCTGTTCCCAGAATCGCTTCAGACTCGGGAGTATACTCTCACTGCCGGTCCTTTGCCTGGGGGTAGGCGTCGTCGGCGACATAACGGTGCCGTGAATCAAATCGGGCCTCAAATCCAACAACTCCTCCCCGACTACACCCTTCAACGGGTTACACCTTTCGTTGTAATTAGCGTTAAGTTTGGACACCATTTCAGTGTCCGCGGAGTGATTGGCCGTCAGATTGTAATCACCATTAATCTCGTCGTTGTGGTTGAGGTTCGTGTGAGTGGTCTCTCTCATCGACATATGCGCGGGTAATGTGACCCTCCGGTGGAAATGGATGCGATTGAAGAGAAATGTGGCCGAAAACGAGTTCTCGATGGCGCCGCCGACGGAGCTGTTGTTGTTGTCGTGCTGTGTGGAGCTATCGGTGCTGAGCTGACTGGGCTCACCGCAGGCCAGTAATAGCATCTGCCGGTGATATTTGTTAAGGCAGGCCAACGGCTTCGGCACACGACGTTTCGGTAGGCTGTCCGCTGCGAATGCCGTGTGGTTTGTTAGGTATTACATACAAGGGGGAGATAATTATTGTGAGTATAGGGTGTGTGTGTTTCAGTGGATAGTGTATGAGCTCTTAAAATCCAAATCTGATCTCTCCATACATATCGACAACTGTTTGCTAGAAAACAATTCATTCATCTTTTTTCGAGAGGTTATGACTGCGAGAATCGGGCAGAAAATCGTGTGAAAAAAGAAATAAAATAAAACAAAATTAAGTGAAATTAAATAAAAATATTTTTTGGGACAGAGATAACAGGATGAATTTTTTTTGTTATTAAAAGTTTTATGTTTGGTTATTATGTATGAAATAGACTATACTTCGCGCTAATGGTTAGTATAGTTTGCGAGATGTTAGGTCGCCTTTTATGTATGCATTAGATTTGGATTTTAGATTTTGTTTCACATATTATAAAAATAGTAATGAAAATAAATGCATTAAGATTTTAGTTTTGTTTTTTAAGACTTTCGCATAAGATATTAGTGTCGAAACGTTTGCGACAATGAAAACAAAGTATTAGTGACAGACATATAAGACATATATTGGACGCACAGGAATATTCTGGGCTCACAGTAGTAATAATATTATATTAACTCAGATTTGCATATATTTTTTGCATATTTTAAAAATATTTCTCAATATTATCTTCACTACTCGATTAACTGAAACTACAAAAACAAAAAAGTTTAAAAATAAAGTGTTTTTCTTATTTTTCGTGCACACTATAAGAATATTCTGTATATATTTTGTTATTAGTTTCTAACAGATAAACACATCTGTATTATGTTTTTTATGTTATGAACAATTTCTCATACATATGATATGACTTACAATAACTATTCACTACTTCATAGAGAATACACTCAAAAGATTGATTTGTTCTCAATTTTGCTTTATTTTCAGTTCACTTTCACTTCCTATTTGTTATATAACAGCAATACTATCGCTGAATGCATAGAAACGCGATATCTTTGAAAAACATTCAAAAATAAAGTCAAACGACAGTTGAATTTAAAAACTCATAAATTTGAAAATAATATTAGCTTGACTAGTCTATACATTTATTTAAAAAACACATTTTTTATCGCTACAGACATATCAATCACATACATATACGCCAGTAAAAACTAATGGACAGGCAGATACTGTCCATGAAAGAGCCCATAATAGATAGTGTCACCAGAAAGTAGTCATAAACACCGGTAGTAATTAATTAGAGACACAAAAAATACAAACAAATAAAAACACACAACGAAAACAACAAAAAAAACATCGAAAAATCTCATCCGAAAACCCCTTACCGATGATGTCTTGAGTGGTTTTGGTCTCATTAAAGCACAATATAAGCCTAAGTATACGCATAAATCCGTTACGAAATCTGGTGCTCATAATGGCGTAAATGAACGGATTTATTGACGAGTTTAGAAACGCGAATAAATTGATGCAAAGCATCGTAAAGTAGAAGTTATGCTTTTGCATGAAGTTCACCTCTTGGTACTGGGTGATTATGGACACTATGAAGTAGGGGGTCCACGATATCGTGTACGCCATCACCACGATTAGTATCATTTGGCCAATCTATTGGGGGAGTGAGGGAGGGGTGCAAATGGGAAAGGTGTATAAATTGTATTAGTTTAATCAGTGTTTGTGTGCGCTTTTATGATTGATTTTAATTTATTTCTGGTATAATAAAGTAATTTATTTGATTAGTTGTGATAATAAGTTGCTGTTTATGTGTGCGTAATCGCCTAACAGCTATTGGAGGGGGAGGGGAGGGCTAGTGGTTATTATATGGCAAATAATGTTAGCCTTATTTTTGTTGTTTAAGCAAATTCTAGCATTAGTTTATAAACTGTTAATACATTGCATTTGTTACTATTATCAAAATACCAGTATAAGATTATTTATTGAATGTCATAGGTACTTTGCTTTACGAATACATTTCTGTCACACACCTTACATGGTTATTCACTAAACATACCATTCCCTAAACCACACTTAAAGAGGCTGTGTCAAAAGATTTATGTGCAATGAACTTGTTTACACAAAAATCGTATTGTTAATTAAGTTTACAATAAATTAATTGATGTTTATTTTGTTAATTTAATTGAGTAATAACTCTCCGACAGGCAGCGAGAGTGGAGTGCATTATATAATACTATTCTGTGTGCACTTAAACGCACAGAATATTCTTATCAATTAAACTGAGAAATTCTTTACACAATTCTCTGTGTCTATATATTTATACTAAAAATATACTAAAACACAACACTATTGATATACTCCATGCGCCACTGTTTAGCAGCCATAATAGCAATCTCTACGGAATTGTGTTCAAAAACTTTTTCAATTAAACGAATGTAAATACACGGGAAAAAAGATTTCTTAATAATAGACTCTAACTTATCTATTGTAATATTCAGACTATTGAAACTGGATTTACATGACATTTCCTGTACTATCCATCAGATTCTTTAAAGTTTACAGAATATTCTGTACACACTATTAACGCCTAAAAATAGACTCACTTTTCGTCGGTTCACTTCTTGCCTCCGAAGGCTTCCCTGTCTGTTAAGGGCGGTGATCCTCAGGAGGGAGCGGGCGATACAGAAACAGGTCCACCCGATGAATACCAATGGTATCAAGTAAAACGTGATGAACAGGAAGGTATAGTAGCTCTTCCGGAAGTAGGGGTCGAAGTCGATGAAACACGTGAGCCGTGAGATGGTTCCGTACGGACTGTGAAGTGTCATTTCGGTGGCCTTGGCGTCCGGGTAGAGGAACGGGAGGGCGGCCACCGATGGTATTATGTAGGTGCTTAAAATGATCTTGATTGTGCGCGATTTGCTCTTGTTTATGCGACTTTTCAGGGGGTGTATGATCGCGAAGTATCTGGTGGTAGATGTAATAGGTTAGTAGTGTTGATAATTGTGGGTGGGGGTGGGGGTTGTAATTTAATTTTAATAGTCTATATTTTATATTTTAAGTTTACTTTGAGTTTAATTTTACTTGGAGTATTTTTTAAAATGCGATATTTTATTATTTGATTTATATTAGTTTTGTGTACAAAATGTAATCGATTTTGTTTTTGATTAATTTGTAAAGGTTTTAATCATGCAAATACTAGTATACTGTAGAATATTATATCATAAATAAAAATAAGGATATTTATGAATAAGCTTATTAAACGAATTGAAGTCTAAATAGTTATAAATTCTTTAAATCGTTTGTTTAAATAATAAATTAAATGTTAAAAATAAAAATTTTATTATTCAAATTATTAATGGTATGAATGAAGCTTATAAATATTATTACGCTTCCAGTAATCTTATTGATTCACATCTATGTGTAAAATATTTTAAATTAAGACAAGTAATCATATTTTATTTTTTATCAAATGATTAATATTATTTTGTCTAACATTTATTAAACCCCAAAACAATGTGCCATAACTTACATAACTCTGTGACAGTTATTCCCATAAAATACATGTATAACTAATATAAACAATAATAATATAAACAGTGAAAATATCAAATGTCATACAAAATCAGACAAAAAATGTGTTAAACATTATGTTAACAAGGATATAGCCATGGAGTAGTTTATGGGATAGGGGTTTACGGATATATACAGGCAAATAGGATCGGTGCATATGTTTGTCAATATACATATACATTGAATATAACTGTTAAGCTTATCACTGGATTCGTTATCATAAACCAAATATTGACACATAAATTATTACAGAATATTCTTTTTATATAAAACCGGGTTTTCCACGAATTTTCCAATTCTTTGCGCTCATCTCTGACGTGAATTTGTCTCATACTTGCATCACATGTTTGTTTGACAATCAAAATATTTAATCAATTTCTAAAATATGTTATATACAAACGTATTTCATTGTTTAGAAATGTATGTTTTTATTGAATGCCAAAAATGATAAATAAAATGGTTAATAGTAAAGTAGAATAAAAACTGGGTAAACTATTTGATATAAAAATAGCTTTTTAATTTGTTTAATGAATTAGGTTTATTATTACATAAAATGTTTTGTTACATAATAATAGTAATGCGCATTCATTGTAATTGATGTCTATTAAATGAATTAAATTATAAACAAAATACTTAAATAAAATTATAAAATAAGTTTTGCTAAAAATAGAGTTTTAAATTGAAAAACTATTAAATTTAAATCAATTCATTTTTGAATTATCTACCGGTACCGTGTAGAAAATTAAAGTTTTTAAATTAAATTTTATTCAAATTATTGTCTGGAAAACAGTCTAGAAATTTGTTATACCATAACAAATAGGATTTTAAAACCAATATCTTATTTAAATGGGTTTTATTCCGATTCTGTAATTCTGTTACTATTATATCACTAGGTTTTAGGCAAAAGATTTATTGTTTGATTTATTTTCTATGTCTTATTGAAATGATATTATATATCGAGACTATATTCATGGAAATACTGTGGCGTTTGAGTGAACCAAAACTTATACACTAATAAAATGATAAGAAATTGAAAGCTATTTTTGATATGAAAATCATTAGTCGTAATAAATTTCAATGCAATTTCTATGGACATAGATCTCAATGCCATTCAATTGTGAATTTGCATTAAAATGTCATTTTTGTCAGCAATCCGTTTGAATAGCAATTTGGAAATCGTGGACCAAATATAGATATCATAAGTCAATCATACGACCCCCATATATAAATATAAACACATTATTTACTCCGGATATATTGATCGTGAATTCAAAATAGATATTTATATATAAAGTTGCAAATATAGTCGGAATAAATTATCCATGTTGACATCAACAAGTCATATTAAATTTATATTCATATAGAGTTTAAGTTTGAATAGTTTCTTAGCATGCTAATAATTTTAAATAGTTTATTATAATTTAAAACAATAAATGGATATTAAAATAACAAAACCCCAAATACAAAATGATTGATTTATGATCAATTATAAATTTTGCTTGACAAATTATTAATTTAAAAATTTCTATTATGGCATAAAAAATATTTGTTACTCAAAACGTGTTGTCAATAAATATTTATTTAACACAGAACTAACATAGATTATTCTGTATGATAATTAATGATGTGGCTGTCAATCATACAAATTACCAACTAAATTCAAAACAGATTTAATTGCATTTGATATAAATAGTTTCAATTTTATGAAAATAATTTTGATAACTAGTGAAGGTTTTCATATAAATTTATTTATAGCATACCTCATACATCGATAAAAATCTAAATTTGCCCTTAAATTGCAAAAACACATCCAATTTTTAAAAATAAATTTATATTTCGTAAAACAAAATCTATTTATGAGAAATAAATTTAATTTCACAAAATTTTTACAAAATTCAATAAATGTCTATAATTCACAAACAGTATTTTAAATGAATCCCAATGGGTTTATAAATTGTTTAAAAATAGCAATATTTTCATATCATACATATTGATATTATTTATATAAAAATCATTTTTCGGTATGATAAATATTGATTAATATTGTTGTTTATTAAATAGCTTTCTATAATTTAATTTTTAAAATCTACTAAATAATTCAGATTCTGATCTTTATAAATCAATTACAGTACCGTTGAACTAAACATTTATACTATAACTGCTTGATAGTAAACTCCCATTACTGATAGATTAGGGAAAGCCGTATAAACCTCGGTCGCTGTAACTTCATAGTGAATTTATATTTGGCGCTTAGCGTTTGACTACTTTCTAGCTTAATGTCCATTAATTATGGTCAGTATTTAAGTTATCAACTTTTTGTGTAAATATAGTGGACCGGCTGAGACTGTATTGTATTAATACTTAAAGTAAACAAACTTGTGAA